GTGTAAAAAAGGTATCCAAAAATAAAACTGCTCTTTTTTTGTGAAAATGGAGAAGTTGAATACTGTGGTTGCTGATAATACAACACTATTTCCGAATTCTCTGTTAGCCCACCTGTAAATCGTTCCAGCGACAAGCGATTCGTGTTCCCCAATGTTAAGAGATGGGTTATTGCCGCTTGGGAAAATTGGATGCCCTGACTTCGTATTAACTCGTAGCCTTTACACACGCACGCACACACGCACACGCACGATCTCTCTCTTTCGCTATCTATCTATCTCTTTCTCTCTCTCTCTCTCTCTCTTTTTTATGTCTCCCCTCTTTCTTGAAAACTGTGCTGGCATCGGTGAAAGAAGCTAAGAAGGTCCAATCACAAAATTAATTCCGTAGATCGTATTCAGGAACGTGTTAAAATAATCGGTGGCTATAATCTGCCAACCCTCGGCACATGTATTACTCGGTCTCACTCGTCATGTACATGCATCCTCTACATACGTCCTCTGTGTCTCATGTGCAGGACTGGTGCTCTTACTGCGCAATGAGAAGGAGCCAATTCGAGACCACAACTCTTTCCTCCAACAGTTCAGCGAGACTCTGGAGGAGATCTTCCGCAGGGGGTTGAAACGTAAGTATCTAAGCCGTGATTTTGCTTCCTATCTGCAAAAGTAGGTAATCTTCTTCTTCTCGGGTCACTACACTTGACCTAGCCACTGCAACACACAGGACCTGGCACGGTGGTTGAAAGCCTCAAGGTCTCCAGGAGATGTTCAATAGTCTGGTCCTCCCTGCAGTCACATTCGATTGGGCCATCAAGTAGGGAATAATATATTAGGTCTATTTATATTATATATGTGTTCAGGACCGAATTATAATTCTGGAGTTTCCGGTTCGTCTAGTGCCCGAGCAATTTTCAGTATTCCGTGTTCTCTGAATGCGTTTTGGACCTTATTTTGATGGAATTGTTTCAAATATTAATGAGAAGGGTTGCCATAAAACATATTTCTAAATAAGCGATTTTGCGTAAAGGCAAAAAAACGCGTGGTCATATTTCGATCATATATTGTGTTTCTTATATGCCCAGGGTGCGAAATTAACGGGAGTTCGGAGTCAAATACTCCCTGATTTATTGTCGGACTTCCTGATTTGACATATGCAGGAGTCCATGTGACTCTCTGAAAATTCTGCCATGTACTAACTAGTTCATTCCGGAGCATGGCCTCGCGGAATTACTGTATTTTTTCAGCTAATGTCCAAAGAAAATTTGGCAGACGTGCAACTGCATGAATCTTAAAAATAAGCACATGCGTTATTGTTAATATCTTTAATTTTGAACCTCAGACTGCGGACTCCCTCATTTTGCTGCAGACTTCCTCTTTTTAAGGGTAGGGAGTCCATTGGACTCCTTGGTTCAAAAGTTAATTTCTACCCTTGTAGGCCTATGTGCAGGTATTCACTCACATGCCCATACTCCTTATTTTGTTGTTTTTTCTGAGAGATGCACATGATGCTTGGATTCATTTTTTTTCTCTTGTGTCATAATGACAAATCATTCAATATTCAAGTAAATTGGTTGCTGGCCTTTTTTGTATTGCTATGTAGCAAAATATCCTGCATGTGGAGCGAAAACATGAATAAGCTGTCTGCCTAATTTTCCTCCTAGACTTCGTTTTTCTTGCAGAGCCTGGTGCAATTTTTGGCTTCAATAAAAGGGATTACTGGAACTGGATTGAGTCCTTACCAGATGTGCTGAATGTACAGACGTACGTGTATTTCTAGCTGGCAAATGTCATGCTTACGAATGTTCACTAAAAAAATGAGCAATGACTTTGAAAATGCTGACTAAACTTAACCGCGTATTCAATGTGTAGATTAATGGTAAGACAACTAATGATCACTGACTACGTAGTTTATGTACCGTGTCCAAGTATATCATGGTTCTGGTTTACGGTTTTCTATTCAACTAGTTTAGCTGATTAAGTAACTATGTTTGTAGTATGAGAGAATCCTACAGTTGTGGTGCTGTTACCGATTGTTGTTGTACTAATCCTATGCCGTCTCGGTGTTATAGGATCAATCCAGCACTTACGCTGGCTGTGTCTACTGTTAAGAACTGTAAAAAGGTAATACCGATAAGAATTTTGCATATTGTTGCATCATATTTGTCTTTGCAAATTAGTGGATTACATGAATTAATTTGGTTAATAGCTATTTCTTAGTAAGAGGTTGCACAATAGTTAATCCTCTTTTCGGTGCGTATCATGTGTGGAGTACGTACAGGGTGACCTATCCTTAATTAATCTTCGTTAGACCATAATGCTGCTTGTGCTAATGACTGAATGCACTTGAGGTTTGTCTCGCTGACCTTCAGGTGAAGACGAACCAAGGTCGTGGACGACTGTTTATCAGGTTTGCGCTCGCCCGGAAAAGTTTGCATCTTCCAGTGAAATACATCCACACGAACACAACCCTGTTGGAGGTACATGAACGCAATAGCACTGATCGCATAAAATCCAGCCGCTATAATGCTTTTCAATTTATTGGGAGTTAAGATTACTAACATCTAATGATAGGAAGATATGTGGAATTTTTATTCTGACCTTGATTGTGTAAACTGTTTCTGTAATTAAGTGGCTGCTCTGGAAGAGATCAGGATAGATCTATGTAGCAGGTTAGATCATTGTCAGGATGTAAGAAATAGTACTGAGTACATTGAAAATGGACCGATAATGATATGCCGATCAAATGCCAAGGTTGAATATGGCAATCAATAGTCACAATTTGAGCGAGTAATTATGCAGCTGTTTCTTTATTTTTGTGCGCTATGCTGTGTTGAAATGTTGACGTTTTAGAAATGTGCATGTCGTATTGCGTTTCCACTGTATTGGCATGCCAACAAGAATAGGTACATAAATTTAAACTAAAATTTCCTCGTTGGTAACATTTCAGTACTGGTATGACCCTAACTCGTCGATCATAGGCAATGAAATTCTATCTGGTAAGTTGTCCGGGACATATGTTTATAATTACGACCCGCGTGTGTATTGTGGGAGAGTTTGTGCAGTGTCGGAAAGTTAAACGTGGAAGATGCGATGGATGGTCGGGTAATTTCTTACGTTTGAGTTTGTTTTGTTTGATTGCAGAGATCTTCCTGTCGCTGCTGGAGGAAACGAAACAGATTATCTTTAACTTAAATATAAAGGTAATGCGATCAAACCAACAGGGCACTTGCATGGTCATGCTAGAATGATGTTTGGCTCCGATGTATCATAATTGGATGCAATTAATTCATCCGCATTAATTCGCAATATAACGAAGCTGAAGCCTTTTTCGATCACTTTAGCGATGGTGGTGTTAGCTCCATTTCGTGAGAATTCCATGATAGAAACCATGATCTGGGTATGCTGTTTTCACCACTGAAAACAGTTTTCACTGGAGATGACCATGGTCATAAATAAGAACGCTGTCTATTTGTCACTTGTTTATTTAACAATGACCACGGTTATCTGCAAAGATAGAAATGGCATTCATTCAGATACACATGTACATCAATAATATCATCTACTGTTAGTTATTTGTCCAGCATTACGACTTGCATTTGAGTACATTACTCGGCCATTAATGGGGAGTGAATTTTTTTTTAATTGTTTATATATTTTTTATAGTTTTTATTAAGCGTTTATTTGCTGTCGATCTACAATCGCTGCTGTCGCGTTTCAGAATTCTAGCTTCCTTGATGAGACCTGGACCATTCCAGTGTACAAGCAGTTTGAGTTTGTGCCTTGCCGTGACCTTGGCATTCACCTAAGGTAGGGTTCAAGGTCATGTCAAGTGGTGTACCTGGATGCGATTCACTGTTGCTATCGTGTTGTGAGGTTAAGTGTTTATTTTGAACCTATTTTCCCATCAGTCTCGTGTTTGTTTCCACTTTTACGACACTTGCCATTATTGCTTAAGTAATAGCAAGTGTAGAGTAATGTTATAATGTCTTAGAACCTTCGTACTTAGCTATATTCTCCAAAACATGCACGATTCGATTTTGTTTACTCGTTTTGATTACCACTGCCGTTTCTTGCTCATCGTAGAAGAATACGTGATAACGGATGCGTGCGCGCGTGATTCTGCTACCACATCTTACGACTGCTCTGTGTTTTTAACGTTTTACAGTTACATTAAAGGGCGTGCCGTCGTCGCCGCGGTGGACATAGGATCCGTGGCTGCTGAGGATGTACGTATGCCTAGCTCGCTCACCGGCCAAATCAAATGCTAATCAAACTTAATTTACTGCTAAATCAAACACCTGCGTCCTCCCGCATTCACGGCAGCGTACTGCCGGTTTTCCGAGGCAGTAAAATAAAAAAAATTGACGGCAGCCGTCAAAATGCGTGTATTTGAACGTTTCGCACCAATTACGTCGCGAATAGTCGGGTGTTATTGACCAAGGAAAGTCTGTGTTATGTTGTTGAAGTGTGATTGTAATTTTCTCTGCGTGATACATGACATGCTAATATGACGACCACTCAGTCACTTCTTACTGATGTTAACACTAACTGTTGGTTTTCTCATGGCATCAAACAGTGTAGTAAAAATCTACATATTGTCAGGATCATGATATATATATATATGATTTCAGGCGATGCATAATTTTTTTCCCACTGAGATGTTTTGTTTTCCGTTCCAGAATAAGATTGAGACGGGCGATGTTCTTGATGAGCTTTATGGAGTCAGCCTAAATGGGGTTAGAAAAGGACAGGTGAGGGTCTAAGTGACAGCATTTCCTGTTTCCTCATCCCTGTTTATTGTTAATTTACGGTGTGGCTTTGATCTTGATATGTAAATATATAGACAAATA